GGAAACCTACAAACAATAAAGAAAATCAATAAAACCATTTGAAAAGAGAGAGAAGACACAATATCAAGAATGAGAGAGGTGATATTTCATATGTAGATATTAAAAAGATAATAAGGAAATGTTATGAATAACTTAAAAATAATAAACTCAACAACTTACAAGATCAAACTACCAGAGTTCATTCAAGGATAACTTAATACTACTATATCAATTAAAGAAGTTGAATTTAGAAATTCTCATATAGAAAATTCCAGGCTCAAATAGTCTGGCTGATACAAACACTTAGAGAAGAAATATCAGTTCTGTTCAAACTCTTCCAAAAATTTCTATGAGGTGAGCATCACTCTTGATGCCAATACCTGATTAAATGACCATATTTCACTCACTTCTTGACCAGAAGAGCTTAGTTTCCTGAAATAGTATCCTTAAAATACAAACAACAGTCCTCTGATGTCTTTTAGGAGTCTCCTGCTACCTGGAAGCTTCCCATTCTTGACTCCAGAGCAAAGAAAGCGGATGATTATAATCTAGTACAAAACAACCTATGGTCAATGACTCTCAAAACTTCAAAAATAGAAGCGGTATCTCTTTTTTTTCCCCTTGTTCTGGTCTGAGATACTCATTTCTTAACAGTAACAAAAACAGCCAAAGTGATTTTCTGACATGTTTATCGTCCCCCAAACAGAAAAAGCAAAACATAAGTCAAAATATCATTTTAATATTGTTCAATAGCTTGTCACTCGATGGTGAAAATTCATAAAGTATGACAAGGCTTGAGATGTTGTAAAGCAAGGTTTTCAGTGGGTTAAGTAATGGCCCCTTTGCTGTGGAGACCAATAATAGATTGGGGTATACTACTCTACCTCATTATTGGGGTATATTCTTATTACTTTTATATTGATGTATAATGCAGACTTAGGTGAATGTTTCAAGCTGAAGGCTGAGAGCATCTGAAGAAGCCAGGTGTTCATTGTTGCTGGATGTTGGCCATGGTGTCTCACAGAGATTAGCGGCATGTCACAGGATATGAACTTGCCTGCATTTCTGGGAGTATACAGGAAAACTACACTCATTATATTTGATGCTACTGTCTCCTTTCCCTCACCCCTGACATCTCTCCTCCTTTAATTGTGGTACATGTGGTCACTTTTCTAATAATAAAACACAAATACAAACTGCTGCTCTCAATAGATGCAGAAAGATTTTACTATCTTTACCTCTCAAGGACATTTTTACTTTTCAGATTTTAGGAAGATGGAGAAATATTATAATAAAGGATGCAAGAAACAGATAAAAATATGAAGGAGACAGACACAAAGAGAGAGACGGAGAGAGAAGAAAGAGGGTGTGTGGGGGAGGGTGAGGTGGAGAAGTGAGGGAGGAATGGGAAATGAAAGAAGGAAAAAGAGAAGAGGGACTCAAAACCAGAGAAGGGATGAAGAAGAGTATGTATTGTAAAAAGAGCAGGTGAATGACAATCTCCTTTGTTCCCTTTGCCCACCCCCACCAAAACCTGCTAGTAAGAAAAGTAGGAAGAGATTTTCAATTGATAAAGAACTTAAAATTAATTTTTAAAAAGTAGTCAAGACAAGAATTGGTGAAAGATCACGGTCTAAATACTTCTACACAGTCCTTTTACTATATTTTCTGGCCAAAGAGAACAAACAAGTATCAAATATTCATCCTATCTCTGGAAAATTTCACAGTATCAACCACCATTCTTAAAAATCGTTAAGAGGGGCCCCTGGGTGGTTCAGTCGGTTAAGCGTCGGACTTTGACTGAGGTCACGATCTCGCGGTCCCTGAGTTCGAGCCCCGCATCGGACTCTGGGCTGATGGCTCCGAGCCTGGAGCCTGTTTCCGATTCTGTGTCTCCCTCTCTCTCTGCCCCTCCCCCGTTCATGCTCTGTCTCTCTCTGTCTCAAAAATAAATAAACGTTAAAAAAAATTAAAAAAAAAATCATTAAGAATTTACTACCCTCCTCACTGGCCATTCTTTCTCAGTCTCCTTTGCTATATTCTCCTCATTGACCTAACATCAGAATACTGCAGTTTGAGGGGGACTTCTGCATTGCATCCCTTTTTCTATTGGTTCTCTACTCTTTGCTCCAGGTCATCACATAAATCCCTGTTCCTCTAGATACCACCTAAATGCTTGCTGATGGCTCTCGAATGTACATATCCACTTAGGAGCTCTCCTCCAAAATTCAAATGTGTATATACAACTGCAAATTGGGGATTTTTACTTGGGTCTCAGGACATGTCAGAATAAACAGGTCCAAAATTGATTTTTCCCCTTTGGTAGTAGGTTGACTGACTTAAATTCTATTTACAACTTTCTTTTTCCCTTGGCTCCTTTCCTAAGGTCAAAATTCAATTTCTCCTCCACTCATACCTGGTGGTATCCATGTATGCATGTAACGCCATTCTGGTCAATGACATATAAATAGGTATCTCCTGATGTGGTCTTTTCCTTTTATCCTTCAGGACCAGAACACAAATGTAAGGCTTGCACGTTCCACAATCATTTGGTGATCATGAGCTAATACAAATGAGGATGAAAGTTACAGCACTAAGGATGACAGAGAAAATAGAGAAAGAACATGGATTTCTAATGGTACTGTTAGCCTAATACGCTAGCCTTCAAGTGCCTCACTTCAGTGTCCACATTATTTGAAATAAATGAAGGTGTACATGCCTAAGTCAATGCAGTCAGCTTTTCTGTTACTGGGAGCCCAAGTCATTCCTGACACAGCCTCCAAAACAGTTTCCACTGTAAGTCTTCCTCATCTCACTGAAATGCTTTATAACCGCCCCTGCTGCTCCAGCCAGAAATAAGGTGGTTCCTCTAGACTTCTCTGTTACAATCCCCAATCTTAACCCTTCCCTACCAAACATACATACTGAGTCCATCAGTAAGTCCTGTGGCAGTTCCTCCAAAGATTAAGGTAGCTATGTCAATGGCTTTATCTGCACTGCAGCCACCCCTGTCTAAATTAAATTCAAAAGCTTTTCACACCCCTACCCATCTCACACTTTCACAGATAACTCCTTTCATCCTTAAGTCCCATCTTAAGTGTGTCTTCAGAGAGGCCTCTTTTGACCATTCCATTACAATTCTTCCCTACCCAACCCTATTGCTCTCAAAAACAAAAGGTTTTTTTTTTTTCTTCAAAGCATTTTTATTTATATACTGGGGTCCACCCTGGGAAACAGAAAGCTTACCGGTTTAAGAGGGAGAATTTAATACAGAGAATTAGCAAAAAGGTATTAGTTGACTGGAAGGATATAAAGAGGACACTGAGGTGCCACAAAGACAGTGACTGCAGGAGAGAACACCCATGCCTCGGGCTTGGACTTGAAGCTCAGAGGGTCTCATCTGTCTCCTCCAGAGGAGGCTCTGAAGAGCTGCCTCTCAGATTCTAAGGTGAGCTTGTTACCTCTGACAGTGTGCAATTGAGCTGATTCTGGGAATGCCGGAAAAAACTAGAAAATGCAAAGAACTAGTGATGCTGGAGTAAATTACATGGCAATGGTACCTGCCAGGGCCCCAAGGAGAAAGAGTAAGTCCCTTTTGGTTCCAATCGTCTACCAGTCTTCCACGGTGCTCCCTTTGAACAGAGCCCTATATGGGTCCACTTGGCAAAGGAAAAATACAGCTTGCAGAGTCTCAGCCTGATCAATTCAGGACAGCATATAAAAGGAAGACTTCAGGGATAAGATACTACAGCTTAAGAAGTGCATATTTGTTTATTTATTGTCTTTTCTTTCCTACTAGACAATATGCATTCAAGACCCATGTCTTTCTTTATACGTTTTACCCCTTCCATGTGCCGAGTAAAAGTACATAGATGGTACTTGAAAAATATTTCTTGAATGAGTGAATTTATTAGATTTTTCTCCAAACTGCTGAGCAAAATACACACCTTAATTCTTGTCAATTGAACAATACTGATTGCCTCATATAATGGTCTAGGCACTGGAGTTAAAATAGGAATATGAGGCACTTCCTTATTACTTAGCAAGGAATTTAAGACATTCTCATATGACATTAAATAGTAAAATGCCATAGAAAACTTTCATATGTTTGAATTCCCAGAGACTTAAACAGGCAGAAAAATCTATAGGAAATAAAAGAAAAAGGTAAAGGCAGGTTTGGAATAACTCAGAAGACATGTGGAAGAAGTTACCATACGAGGCAGGCTTGAAAGGGGGCAGACCAACAAAGCCATGGAGGTGGGATGGGTCTGGCAATTCTCATATGATTATGAGGAAAGCAGACAAGTGAGAAATTAGTAGGAGTCACTGGAAAAGTAAACTGGAACCAACTGTGGGAAATCATAAGTCCTAGAGTTAGATTATAAATAGTACATTAGGGCGCCTGGGTGGCTCAGTTGGTTGAGCATCTGACTTCGGCTCAGGTCATGATGTCGTGCTTCATGGGTTTGAGTCCCGTGTCGGACTTTGTGCTGACAGCTCAGAGCCTGGAGCCTGCTTTGTGGATTCTGTCTCCCTCTCCCTCTGCCCCTCTCCCACTTGTACTCTGTCTCTCTCTCTCTCTCTCTCTCTCTCTCTCTCTCTCTCAAAAATAAATTAAAAACATTTTAAAAATTAAAAAAAAATTATAAATAGCATGTCGTTTGCAAAGAGGAGACACTAAGAGGTTTCAGCAAAGGAGTGATGCAGCATTGGAAATATTTTCTGAAAATAAATCTGGCAACATCATGGGTGAATGTGTAGACACTAGAGCCAGAAAGACTTGTTAGGAGACTGACAGCAATCTTGAGCCAGAAAAGATGGTAGAGAGAGAAATAAAAGAAAAAGATAATAGGTAACAGAAGGAAGAATCAATATAACACAATGCAGAATTAATCTAGCAAAATGAGGGTAAAGGGGATCCCTGGGATTAACCCACAGTGATACACAGAGAGAAGGTTCAGAAGGGTGGAGACAGACAAAAGATCATTGAGTTTCACTCAAAGAACAGGATTAACAATGGCATAAGTACAATAAAAGTCCCAGTGAATATTTATCCTCTAATAACTGAACCCAGTGTTTTGAAAAGTTATGAATCTGGAAGAATATATATGTCTTCATCTTGAGAGACTTCAGAAGTGCTAGGCTTCTGGAAGTTGTAATATTGAGATGATGTCTCATTTCCATAGATATGCTCCTCAAAATTGGTGGGCCGAGTGTTCTCATATAGTTCTTTATCAGTTTCTTCTTTAGCTCTGGGAGGACCGACTTCCACATTTTCATAGTTGTCATGCATGTTAACCCCTCTTCCAGAAGATGTATAGTCTTGGGTCTGAACTGAGATTTTATGCCTTGAGTTGATAGTGAGGGGATCTGAGAGCGTTTTAGCATAGTCTTTTCTCCTGCTGCTTCTCCTCTGCAAAAACCTTGGTAAGGTAAATTGCACTGGGTTATGGTGTTTCCAGTGCCAAACACACCCAATTCCACAGATCAACAACAGTAAAAGAAGGGAAAGTCCTATAGAAACGGCCACTGAAGTATTTCCACAGCTTTTCAACATTTCTGCACAAGCAGTGTTTAGTAGTGTGGTGTGGCCCTTAATGAATTCACAGGTGCAGACCAGCGTAATTCCTTGTAGGGTAGAGTTAAGAAGCAATCTTGGAAGCTCTTTCAGGCATTTCTTTTTCAGATGTGAAAGAACATCATTTGGCAAAGTCCTGATACAATTAGAGGAGAGGTTGAGTAAACGGAGTCTTTGAAGATCGTTCTTGTTGTATGTGAGGTTTTTTACAGTACAATCATTAATGTATACCTGCACGATGTCGGGGGGGATTTTACTTGACTCCACTTCCCTTTCTATAAATGAATCACAAAATGAAGCAGAAATGAGTGGAAGATAATGGCAGAGTAGACAACTCAAGAAAGAGAAGGTTGAACGATCTGCCATCCAGACAACCTATAAATTAAGAACATATCAATTGCGTGTTTATTTCATAGCATAACAAAACATATTAGTTTTATATTTATTACATAGCATAATAAAAAAATCTGCCAATATCTACCACCATATTAAGCACCAGCACTTAGTGAGTTCCTGCGACAAAAGAGAAGAGAGTACTAGCTGTTGTGAGGAGAGAAAAAGAGAAGAACTTCTATCTGGCCAAGTGTGAGTGATTTTATTAATTGGATTTCAACACGACTTTTGACAATGAGGCTAATAATTTTCAAGTGAAACGCAATGCTTTGAATGCAACAGGTGGAAGCGATACGAGTACACACGGGCAATAATTTCCATTGCTTATCACCTCCTCCGTGATGCCTGTGGCGTAGTCAGGGACGATGTCTTTTCCTTAATCACTCCTTTCTCTGTACTTCCCTATTAATGAATCCATTCCCGGGTAGAGCATGATAGCCTAACTTACAGGGAACTGTGTGTCTTCCTACCTGGTTAAATGGTGGGCGGGGGTTGGGTCTTTTCGTCTTTATATTCCTAGAAAACACCATTAACAGCTAGTGCAGAAAAGGAGTTCAACTGATATTTATTAAATAAATGAGTCAAGAAACAAATGACTCCTAACGTCAGCATCTAATTGCTTAAGTCAACAGTTTAAAACTTGAGACACATCTTCTAGCGCTCACTTTGGCAGCACATATACTAAGATACATCTTCTAAAGGGCATAGTTTATACTTAATAGAAGACAATAGCTCTTTTATATTACATAAAATGTCTAAAAATACTTTGAAAGCCTTCCTATCACTAGTGCTCTCACAACTTCCAGCAAAAAAAAATTTCAATTAAGATAATTTTAGAATGTTTTCTGTCAATGCTTTAAAATAGCAATGAAGAGAGAAATGAAAAGCATTTATAGCCAGATTGAGTTGTTGTATTATGATTTTATCAACAAAATAGTATTACTCTATGTTCTTAGCCTAGACACAGAAATAGTTACATCTAATACCATTTTCATTGTTTCTAGTTTTAAATTTTTTTGTTAACGTTTATTTATTTTTGAGACAGAGAGAGACAGAGCATGAACGGGGGAGGGTCAGAGAGAGGGAGACACAGAATCTGAAACACGTTCCAGGCTCCGAGCTGTCAGCTCAGAGCCCGACGCGGGGCTCGAACTCACGGACCGTGAGATCATGACCTGAGCCGAAGTCGGCCGTTCGGCCGCTCAACCAACTGAGCCACCCAGGCGCCCCTCATTGTTTCCAGTTTTATTGAGATTTAATTGATATACAACTTTGTATTTGTTCAAGGTATATACAACATGATGATTTGACATATGTATTATTGCGAAATGATCACTGCACTAAATTTAGCTGATCATAACCTCACATAGCTACAATTTTTTTCCTGTCATGATAACTTTTAAGATCTACCCTCTTAGCAACTTTCAAATATACAATACAGTATTGTTAGCTATAGTCATCCAATATTGTGAACAGTGCTTGTGGGATGATTATTATCTATTGAATGTCAGTATTGATAATATTTAGTTAAGAGCTTATTTCGTTTCAGCTTTAAAACACTTTTAGATAGATGGATTATCTCCTTTGATCCCACAGCTGCCGTATGAAGTAGATACTATTGTTATGTCCATTTTACAGAAGAGCGAGGAGAGGATTAAAGAGTTTAAATAACTTCTTGAATAACTAAGAAGTGACTGAATCAGGATCCAAGCAAAGTTTGCCTCCAAATACTCTTCATACCCACATTTCTATAAATGGCTATCAAAAACATCTATCGCTAAAATTTTAAAGCTTGATTAGCTCTGAGATTCGTGAGGGCTGGAGTTCTTATTTATCTTTACATTACCAAATCCAGCACTAGACACAGAAGAGCTACTTTCTTAAATATTTGTTAGTGAATAGAGCAAACTGCATTAGGACAACAACAGTAACAATAAACAGGTAAAAGGAAACCCCACAAAGTTGAGCCCTGCTTTCAGTGAGTATTCACACAAGACAGTAAAGTTTTCTAAATTTTTTCACCATTGGAATATGTCAATGTGCAAATTTTCAGTTTGGCATGTCACACAAAATACCAAATTACATATGAGATTCAGTTATCTTTTATATAATTTATCTGATAAAAATATATGGACAGATAGCCCGGATCTAGACATCTTTTAATCTCTTTATATTCGTGGTACATTCTCTCCTTTATAAGGTCAGACACAATGCTTAGGTCAAGGCAAATATTTGGCAAATGACTTTAACCATTAGGATCTCATTTCCTTTCTTTTTTTTTTTTTTAATTTTTTTTTTCAACATTTATTTATTTTTGGGACAGAGAGCGACAGAGCATGAATGGGGGAGGGGCAGAGAGAGAGGGAGACACAGAATCGGAAACAGCTCATTTCCTTTCTAAAGCAGATGAGAACCAATCATATGTAAGATATTTTATGTTAAAAGTGATTACTTGTTTAAGTAAAAATTTGTTAGCACATTTGAACAGAATTTCAAATATAGATTAAAATTAATCACCTTATTAAAAGGTGCTAGGCTTGCAACAAAAGTGGGGAAGGCTAACTATTGCTGAGGATAAGGTAATAAATTGCCCTCTCAATTTCCAAGAGGAGAATTTATTTTTACCATCTATTTTCTTCTATGTAGGCACTCCAGAACATTTCAAATATTAAAACTGTTTGTCAAAAGAAGTACATACTGAAATAAACACAAGAAAACTTCTTACAGGAGAAAAAATGCATCCTTTTCCTTTCTCTAAAATAACTTAACAGGAAAAACTCTGAGAGGCAAAAAGGAAAGACCCACTAGAATGAAAACCATGTGTTAAACAAGAGCCCTTCAAAGATAGCTTAACATCCCAGTAAGCCTAACTTTGCCCAATCTTATAGAAGACTGTTTTCATTCTTGAAAGCAGTTCCAACAGACTAACAATTATTCATTTGTCCTAAAATTACAAGTGGTTGATAGACTTCTGGAATTTTCAAAGGCAGATATTGTTCTTGTGTTTGGAAAAGCCTAATCTTACACGTGTAAGCATATATACGATAAAGACACTAACATCACCCTCCGTTTGTAAACTGATATTTCCCCCTATCACCACCTAAGGCCATCTAAAAACTGAGTCTGGTAACATAAAAAAAGTCACTGATTATTTAAAATGAATTTGTTTCTTACAGTTGTTCATTAGCCACACACCTTAAATCAGGTTCTTACCTTGAGACTGCTGTGCCAAGCTCCCTTCTGTTCTTTTGGTTAAACCTGCTTTGATGTTCCCCTTTTTTGCTTTGGTCAGTTACTTCCTTCTTTACGTCCTCCTTTCATATTATTTCATACTTGCAAAGTTTCCTGGCTCTAGAGGAAGTTCTTATCAGATGCACCAGAATTAAGATAAATGGCATGAGATTTTGAAAAAGGAAGCTCAGCCCTTCTTGTTATCAAGTAATAATTCTCCAACTAAATCAGAAAATGATCAGAAAATGATGCATGAAGCCCAGATGCTTTTGTTTGTGCAATATAAATAAAAGGTGCAGTCCTCACTTCACAGTCAATAAGAGTCATTTTTGCACTTGCACTTAAAATTTTTTTAAAAACAGAGATTTTAAAATGTAGTTACATAGAGGTCTTATTGATTTGTTTGCTCGCGGGATTGCTAAAAGAGTCCTCCTTTGAAATATTATGTCCCAGCGCCGCAAGTTACATTTACACTTGTCAAGCTAGTGTCCCAATTTTGGATCAGAAAATGTTCATATTCTTTAAGTTGATGACACAGGAATTTCCCCAAGTAAGTATATTCTGAGTTGCGCTATTTCTGTGATTTTCTAGTAGGTAGAAAGAAAAACTGTTTAATAATAGTAACCGGCACATTCTGGACACTCAGTAAGTCTCCTCAACGTTTGGTGTACTCTTCAGTGAATTCTGACAACAACTCCAGAGAATAGGAGTTCACCCTATGGTACAGAGGAGGAAATGGAAGCAGGGTGGTAACATCATCACCCACCCAGTGTGGCCTGGCAGGCTGCCTCCGGCACCTGTGTACTAAACCACTACACTTGCTGGCTTGCTTGGATGAGTAACAGGTTTCCCACATAGATCTCTTATTTAGCAGCATTTCTCAGAGACCAACTCCACAGAGTATAAAAATGGAAAATGCTGAATTAAAAAGGCGAGATCATAAAGCAATGGAAATTTTGCCTTTTAAACTGCATTGGAAGTTTCTCAACTCCAGAGGATTTCCCTTGTATCAGGGGATTTAAAAGAAGAAGACTTCATTGCTGAAACACCAACCAGACATCAGAAGAGCAATACTGTCAACACAGATTGGGGACTGACATTGTGCCAGGCATCGTGCCTGTGCTAAGCAGCGGGGATGCCATAATGAACGAACTGCCTTGTAGCAATGAAACCTCCTGGAAGAGGCTGCTGTATCCACAGGTCATTTCAGATCAAGGTGATAAGGGCTAGGAAGGACACACTTAAGCAGAGAGTCCTCTCTGCTTATAAATGGGCAATATTATAAATGGGGAGTAAGGAAAAGAGACATCCATTTCAGAACGGTCAGGGAAGGCACGACCTGAGCTAAGGCTCATAAAATAAAAGAGAGTTAATCAAGGCAGAATAGAAGGGTTCCAGGCAAAAACCCCTGAGGGAAGGAGGTTATGAAGGGCTGTTGGGAATGAATTATGAAAGATAGTACCTTATTGGTGTTCCATTCTAAACTGTGAAATCTGCCCCCTGAAACTCAGGTCAGGCCTAAAGAGAGGTACATTGTTATGGTTCATTGGCCAACTTAGAAAAGTCTGATTACAGTCCAGGGCTAAAACAAAGCAAAACAAAAACAAAAACCCAAACAAAAACAAACAAAACTGATAATGTAAGAAAAACAAAAAAACAAAAAGGCCTAGGAATTTCACTCCTAGGTATATACTCAACAGAAATGAGGGCCATTTCTGTTTGTAACTGCTTTAAATTAAAAATATCCTAAAGCTTTAGAAACATTTCAAAGGTCCCTCAACAATGCAGTGGGTAAAAAGAACATGATAAATTCATGAAACTGAATACTACATATAGCAATAAAAAACTTGAACTACTAATAGATTACAACAACATAGATGGATCTCAGAAATATAATGTAGACTTTAAAGAGTTATGCACAAAAAAGTACAGACTGTAAGATTCCATTCTTAAACCATGGAAAGCTTATCTACAAACAGATGATGGTAGAAGACAGCAAAATGGTGATTACTATAGACTGGGAGCCTTCTCAGATGCCAGAAACGTTCTATTATCTCGATCTTTGTGGTGGTTATATATAACCATTCATCACGCTCTCTATTTATGATTTGTGCACTCTATGCAAACTGTATGTTAATTAAAAGAAATTGGGAATGTATGATAAAACAATTCTTTAAAAAGTCACAAAAAGTTGAGATAATCTATCTAATATCTCTAAGATGTTTTTTATTCATTCAGATTACCATCTCCTTTGGTAGACTGGTCTGGTCTACTCATTTGGATGGAGAAACACTTTGTTCAACTATAGGCAGACTTTCAGCTGGTTGAATTCCAAATTTATCTAGAGTTTCTTGAGTCTGGAGGTTGGTAAGGCTGGTGGTAAGAAAGAGGGGAGTTAGTAATGAATCTTGGGCTCCATCCCAGTCAAAGTAGGGAATTTTTACTTTCTGAGATTATATAAATGGTCTTTCATTGGCACACCTTGACTTAAAGATGAGGTGCTGAAAAATCATGTTCAACTTAAAAATAGATAAGTACAAAGCAGTTTTACCTAAAAGAAATAATTCTGGCATCTTGGGCAAGTAACAGAACTTCTCAGTCTTGCTTTCTTCATCCATAAGACAACAATGGATTGGGTGATCCCTTAGCTTCCTTCAAGTTCTACCAAGTACAAATGAACAATATAAATGTTCGTTGCATTCAGAAGAGGATTTTTGAAACTGGTTTTCAAGTGTAGCATACACTTCCTTTTAGTCCAACTCCCTCTTTTCATCATGAGTCTTTCCTAATTGCTACACAGATCAGATAACACGACTTAAAGCTTGCTTCAGCTTCAGTTGAACAACACTCCCTCCCTCCCCCAGTGTTCTCCCCTTTTTTTCCTTCAGAATGAAATAAACAAACATTGGGAAAACTGAGCAATCATTCATTAAGAAAAAAAAAAACACTGAAAACATTTTGCTTCTTCATGACTAAAATTGAAAGCTGAATAATTTAGCACTCCTATGGTAAAAAGACTCCCCATTCATCTTAGACTGTGGATATGATTTCACAAGTCAGGTAACTGTTAACTATTTCAACAGAGTTTCTGTTCAGTTGAGGAAGGCATTGTAAACTAGAGTTAACAGCAGATACCAAATCATTGTTAGCTTCTGCCAACTTCTTCAGTAAATGTTGAGAGGCATAACAGATCACCAATTTTAAGTAACTGGCTATAGTTTGAAACTTCACCCAAAAGTCAGCCTGGATGTGAGAAGTGGAGCCTAGCAGACACTCTCTCCCACATACAGGACAGTGAAGACCAGCCTAACCATTTCACACCTGGCAGGAGGGGGGCACTGGGGCGGTAGGTCAGCTTAAAGAGGAAGGCACAACTCTAAATCCTTTGCATTAAGACCCTGAAAAATCTCCCATGTACACTGAATCTGAGTGAGAAATTAGGAGAAGCAGAGAATAGTAACTTCTATGGATTTACCCTCCCTACCTGAGATGATGTCCTGTGTAACTCTATTCCCATGAGGAGTAGTAGGAGGTGAATAAAATAACTAGCCAAATATTCCCAAAGTGGGTAGGGGCTAGGGACCTGTCTGAAAAGACCCTGATAAGCAGGGTCCCCTTTTCTCCCTCTAGGAAATAGACTTCAGAAGGCAATTCAGCTTCAGATGACCAAAGAACATTCACCCAGAAAGCAACAGCTGAAGTGCGTGGGGCATAAGTGGTTAATGGCCTCAAGTAAGCTGTCAGGTACTCCCACATGAGTTTCTCTGAACCCATTGTCTGTGCTTCCTTATAGGTACATTAATAATCATAGAACAGGCTAAAGTCATGTTGTTCTTTCTTAGGAGACATAACTCTCACCGTGATATATGCCTTTTATTGCTTAATTTACTAGAATTTTAAGACTATCTCCTTTTCGTCTTCTGAGTCCATCCCTATCTCTGACATTATTAACTAGCTTGGGCCAGTCATTCTATCACAGAGAATCTCAATTTTCTCATCTGCAAATTGGATTTTAGTGGGTAATTGGTTCTTTTTTTAATGTTTATTTATTTTTGAAAGAGAGAGAGAGAAGGGGCAGAGAGAGTGAGACACAGAATCCAGAGCAGGCTCCAGGCTCTGAGCTGTCAGCCCAGAGCCCTACACAGGGCTCGAACCCACGAACCCTGAGATCATGACCTGAGCCAAAGTCGGACACTTAACTGACTGAGCCATGCAGACATTCCAAGGTCATTGGTCTTAACTATAGTTGTTCACTGAAATCTCCTGAGGAGCTTTTAAAGATATTGATGCTTGGGTTCCAGTCCACAAAAATTAAAGCAAAAATATCTAAGGGTATAACTAAATATCAATCGGGTTTTTTTTTTAATTTTTTAAATGTTTATTCATCTTTGAGAGACAGAGAGAGACAGAGCATGAGCAGGGACAGGACAGAGAGAGAGGGAGACACAGAATCCAAAGCAGGCTCCCCCACTCTGAGCTGTCAGCACAGAGCCTGACGTGGGGCTCGAACCCATGAACTGTGAGATCATGACCTGAGTCAAAGTTGGACGCTCAACCAACTGAGCCACCCAGGTGTCTGAAACATCAGTAGTTTTTTAAAAAGCTCCTCAGGTAGGAAGTTACCAGCAGTATTGAGCACTCAGGTCTTTTATGAACTAAAATCCTAGGACTCTGCTGTATGATCTCCAATCAACCACTCAACTCTTGAGTTTTCTTTCTTTTTAAAGTTTATCTATTTCTAAGAAAGACAGACACAGTGCAAGGGTAGGGAGAGCAGAGAGAGGGAGAGAGAGAATCTCAAGCAGGCTCCACACTGTCAGCGTAGAGCCTGATGTGGGGCTTAATTGACTGAACCACCCAAGTGCCCCTTTAATTTTCTTTACTATAAAAATGGAACTTGAGAGATAATGTTACAAGAAAAAAAAATCTGGGAAGTGCTCAAGGTTCATTGGAGAAATACATGTTATTAAAAACAACCTAGGAATTTGTACGCTGGCTGCAATGGCACTAATAGTTCACATCTACTTCACACTTGAGCATGTGTCCCAGTGCCCTCTGGGCCCCTTATATGAATTTTCTTTTTTAATTCTCACAAAAAGCATAAAGATGGGTTTTACGCACTGGATAGGAGGTGAGGAAACCGAGGCATTGAGGGGACCGAACTACCTATTGGCCATCATAGAGCTTGAGCCAGAGTCTGAATTCAAACTCAGACCATGTGACTTGAATCCAGACCTGGTGCTTTTAACCTCTGTTAAAAGCACTAAAGTATTAGTATTATGAACTGCCCTTTTACTCTTTAATTATGTAACCAAATTTCTGAGAAGTCCCAGATTAAAACCTGCTTTATTCCAAATGGTACACAGTTGAATCCCTCTCTCTTTCAGAATATTTGACCTGTGCTACAGGTGGTGGCTCAGCTGGTGGGGGTAAATAAGTTTGGTGGCTGGAGGAGAGCTTTTCTTGGGTTCTAAGGAAGTATGAGAGTTCTTAGAAAGTAATGGAGGAGGTATAAAAATGAGAGAACTGACATGCAAGATCAGAAAGCCCATGACGAAGAATATTTTTTTCTGGGAGCACCTGGGTGGCTCAATCAGTTAAGCATCCCGCTCTTGATTCTGGCTCAGGTCACGGTCTCATGGTTTGCAGATTCGAACCCCACAACAGGCTCTGTGCTGACAGCATGGAGGCTGCTTGGGATTCTGTCTCCTT